TGCAACAGCAGTAAGCATTCTGAACTGCTGAACCATCTCTCTAGCCTCCTTGCCATCCCTTAGTGTAGGAGGTCCTTCTGTTTGTGTGTTTCTTTCATTGGTTAATGAATAAAGAAACTGCCTTGGGCTTTTGATAGTGCAGAACTTAGGTAGGTGGGGAAAACAGGACTGAATGCTGGGAGGAAAAAAGCAGAGAGAGCTGCCATGGAGCCACCAGAGTCAGACATGCTGAATCTTTCCCAGTAAGCCACTGCCACATGGTGATATACAGATTAGTAGAAATGGGTTAAATCAAGATGTGAGAGTTAGCCAATAAGAGGCTAGAGCAAATGGGCCAAGCAGTGTTTTAGTTAATACAATTTCTGTGTGGTTATATTGGGGCTAAACTAGCCAAACGGCCGGGACAAACAAGCAGCCTCTTTTTCTTTCCCTCCCTCTTTTTCTTGTAGAGTTTAGCTGTTTAGCCCAGGCGACCTCAAGACTGACAGTTTTCCTGCTTTTGTCTCCTGAATTCTGGGTTTGCAGTCTGAGCTACCATGCATGCTTACTCTCTGCTTGTTCTCTACCTTGATCCACCAAACTCATTCTCAGTAGCCAGAACAGTAGTCTATCAGTAAATCACATCCAGCATACCCTTATTTAAAACTTCATCAGCTGCTTAGCGATGGTGACCCATGCCTTTAATCCCAGCACTCGGGAAGCAGAGGCAGGCAGATCTCTGTGAATTCAATGCCAGACTGTATATAGAGTGAGTTCCAGGACAGTCAGGGCTGTTACACAGAGAAAACCTGTCTCGAAAAAGCAAAAATAAATAAATAAAAAACAAGAATAAAATACATCAGTCTGAAAGGAGACTCATTCTCTACCACAGTCCTTTAGTTCAAAGTTCCATTGTCCTCTTCACTCTGTGATTATTATCTGTCTTTTTCCACTGCTTTATTTTCTTTATGAAACGAACCACTATCTTTTTTGGGGGGTTTTGTTTTGTTTTGTTTTTCGAGACAGGGTTTCTCTGTGGCTTTGGAGCCTGTCCTGGAACTAGCTCTGTAGACCAGGCTGGTCTTGAACTCACAGAGATCTGCCTGCCTCTGCCTCCTGAGTGCTGGGATTAAAGGCGTGCGCCACCATCGCCCAGCACGAACCACTATATTAAGTCATATTAACTCATGGATTACAGGGGTAATAGTCCTAGCATCTGGTCCCTGCTAGAAAATAAGTTTCATGAAGGAAGCTTTGTCTGAGTCCCTTTGCCAAGAACATTGATTCATAACAAGTATGAAACAAATCTTTTTTAAATAAATGGATAAATGGATGCTTCTATTTTCACTTAAAGGAGAGAAGACATAAGGCATGAGTTTCATCTGGAACTCAAAATGTAAGGGGGGGGGAGACAGTGGGAGAAGGGAGGTCATTTCTGTAGTAAACATGATCTAATAAAACACAAAGGCTGAAATAACAAAGGAATCTATAGATACTAACGGTGGCTAAGATCCACGGAGAACTATGCTTAGGCATTTCCAAGCATTAGTGCCAGATACTTTTAGGTTTGAGGGGACTCTTCAGGGTTGCTCTTCCTCCAGTAGGCTCTTGCAGACCTATTTCTATTATGAGGTCATACACTATAGCCAGGGCTGATCCATCTGTCAGCTGGAGAGAAACATTCCATGTCTTCTAAGTTTGAGCTGAGTGTTACACTGCTGAAGAGGATTTAAAGTGAGTCATGCTAATGGCAGGACACTTCTGAGTGACAGGAACAGCTGTTGAAGCTGCTCTGGTCACAACCTTTTTTGAATTGTGCTGTTCAATACTTTCTGTCATAATAATCCAAATAACCACAGTCATTTGTTCTACTAATATATACCTCTCTCTCTCTCTCTCTCTCTCTCTCTCTCTCTCTCTCTCTCTCTCTCTCTCTCTCTCTCTCTCTCTCTCTCTCTCTCTCTCTCTCTCTCTCCTTTCTGCTACACAGAGAAACCCTGTTTTGAAATAGGAAAAGAAGAAAGAAAAACCCCAGGTTGTGCAAGCAGCCCAGAGGAGGGAGACAAGGAAGAGTTTAAAAAAAGCCTCAGAGTTGGAGTTAACCTGCCTGGGTGGGTAGCCACATGGTGGACAAACACGTGTGCACACATGGCACTGAGGGGAGCTCTAGAGAAAGAGAAATCCAGACCAATTAGAATTCGTGCTGCACTAGACCATAGTGCAAGTGCAAAGGGTAAGTCTCCGGAGCGGGTTGGGGGGAGGTGGGGAGGAGGGTGTGGGAGAAGGGCAATGGGAGAGGGAGGAAGAAGCAAACGAACCGTCTCCGGAGTCAGGTCATGCCTGCACATAGCTGCAATACTAATACTCGGCAGAGTTGCACACTTGAGGCAGAACACTGAGACTGAGGCCATCTTTTGTGACCTTTTGTGTTCCAAGCCTTTCCAGGCAACACAAGTACTAAATTGAAAAGGAACGAAAACAACTGAAGAGGCTTCTGAGGGGGCATGAATTCTAATTGGTCTTTATAATAAAAACTCGGAATCAGGTATTCGGGTAAATGCTGAAATATCAGAGAAGTAAGGGAGCCATCTACTAGAGAGACTTTTTAACTCTACTGAATCCTCAAAACGAATGGCCAAGATCCTGTCTCTAGGAATCCTCTGACTGAAATGGACCTGAGATCCTGTCTCCACCCACCTTCTATTCCTTTCTCCACCTCCCTAGTGTTGGGATTAAAAGTGTATGCTTTTCAAGTCCTGGGAACAAAAGCATGAGATCCCAAATGCTGGGATCGAAAGTGTGAGCAACCATCGCGTGGCCTCTATGGTTGTCTAGTGCCTAGCTTCACCCTCTGATCTTCAGGCAAACTTTGTTAGAGCACATAAAAAAAAATCATCACAATCTAGGCTGGATTCGAACTAAAGGAGGTGCTCCAGGTTCAGCCTTCTGAGTCTTCAGACAGCAGGCATGGGCCACCACAGCCAGCTCATGAGTGCTATTGATGGTTTCTAGAATAGCAGATCCCAGTGTGTTTCATTTTTCTTTGCCCAGATCCTCAGGAAAAAATGCTGTGGAATCAATCACTGTCTATGCCACAAGAACTTTATGTATTTCCTAAATACAACTCGAAAATTAAATTACTGATTTACCCATGGGCTGAAGACGAGATATCTTTTTCTTTTTTTTTAGTTATATTTATTTATTTATTATGTATACAATATTCTGTCTGTGTCTATGCCTGCAGGCCAGAAGAGGGCACCAGACCCCATTACAGATGGTTGTGAGCCACCATGTGGTTGCTGGGAATTGAATTCAGGACCTTTTGTAGAGCAGGCAATGCTCTTAACCTCTGAGCCATCTCTCCAGCCCCGAGATATCTTTTTCAAAGACATGAAAATGACATTAATCTTGTAGGTCTCCATTGGAGCACTTGGGTAACCACAGGAATTATCAGTGAGAAATATTATTTCAAAAGAGACTTTTTTCTTCTGATCAGTAGTTCTGAAAAGTGCTTAAAGTACGGAGTAGACCGTATTGTAACCAGAGGTACAGCTATCCAAGCTTTGTTATTCCAATTACAGAGCACAGAGATTTAAGAAAATGATGAAGGGCCCTAGGAGGTTTGGAGTGGGAAATAGACATTGCTTTCTTCTTTAGCCACCAGTCCTGAGCCCCCAGAGGAGCGGCGGCCTGTCCTTTGAAGTTTTAGGCTAGGCATTGCCTTCTGCCTACACGCTGAAGTCCTGGATGGCATCCTTTCTGTCACGAGCTCTTGGCTTTAGCCACTTTAATCACTGTGACTTTTCTCAGCTGAAGTTTCTTTTACGAGTAGTGCTGTGAGGACTCTGCCATTCTCCCCAGAGAGCGATGAGTAACCAGACCAAGCAAGAGAATTGTCTTTATAATGATTCTTTATTAGTGGCTTCTATATCCAATTAAGGGGGTTCACACTCTTAGTACGCATGGGAGGACCATGATAGGCAACACACAAACAATTCAATATCACAATTATTAATCCTACTAATCCTAATACATAAGACCAATTCCTCACCTCCATTCGGCTTATCAATTATCCATAAAACACTTCTTAACATTAATACAGCTTATCAATTAATATTTCCTAATCTTACCAATTACCTATAAAATATCTCTTAGCATTTCGCACACTAAACACACACATTGATATATCTGTGCTCTTCTAATTATCATTAATGCACCAATCTCAGATTTACAAAGTTCCATACTTGAGTGTAAATACAACCTGACATTCTCTGTCCTCGGCTATTGGTATCAACTGGACACTGAAGGGTGGGGTCCTTCTCATGTGGCAAGATTACTTTTGTTACCAAAGTTACTGGATGCAGCCTTCCCATCTGGCAAGGCCAGATGGGTGTGGAAGCCTCTAAGTGGGCAAAATGTTCTCTTAATATTTCTCCTTAATAATTTTCTACTTCACACAGTTTTCTTACTTAATTTTCTATTTTCTATATTATACTTACACTATAGATTTCTTATTTTACCTACACTACAGACTCCCCTTTTTTACTCATTCAGAGGGATCTGTTTCCATGCTCATTACACTTTCCCAATGAAAGTTTGCTTCATCTGCACTGAGAATCACTTTGCTGTTTGGTTAAGACAGGGTCTCGCATAGACTGTTTTAGACACTACCTCTCTATGTAAGCAAAAGTGACCTCGAATTTCTGTTTCAGCCCCCTGAGTGCAGGAATATGAGCATGCACTACCGGGCCTGGTTTATTCAGCTCTGTGAATTGAACCCAGCTTCTTACTTACTAGACAAGGCTCTAGTAACTGAGCTATATCCCAGCCTGATAATTTGTTTATATAACCACCTTTATCAAGAATCTTAGCTTCAGGGGCTGGAAAGATGGCTCAGCGGTTAAGAGCACTGACTGCTCTTCCAGAGGTCCTGGGTTCAATTCCCAGCACCCACATGGCAGCTCACAACTGTCTGAAAATGCAGTTCCATGAGATCTGACACCTTCACACCAATGCACATAAAAAAATAAAGTTAAGGCTCCGGAAGCAGTAGCCATTACTTCCGTGAGGGACTTGTGTGCCTGGGGTGTGTGCTACGGGGTGCATTTTGTGTTTGAAATAGGAGGTACGCCATGTCCCGTGGGTCCAGCGCCGGTTTTGACCGCCACATTACTATTTTCTCTCCTGAGGGCCGACTCTACCAAGTAGAATATGCTTTTAAGGCTATTAACCAGGGTGGACTCACATCTGTGGCTGTCAGAGGAAAAGACTGTGCAGTAATTGTCACACAGAAGAAAGTACCCGACAAATTACTGGATTCCAGCACAGTGACCCACTTGTTCAAGATAACCGAGAACATTGGCTGTGTGATGACTGGGATGACAGCTGACAGCAGATCCCAGGTACAGAGGGCACGCTATGAGGCAGCTAACTGGAAATACAAGTACGGCTATGAGATTCCTGTGGATATGCTGTGTAAAAGAATCGCTGATATTTCTCAGGTCTACACACAGAATGCGGAGATGAGGCCGCTCGGTTGTTGTATGATTTTAATTGGTATCGATGAAGAACAAGGTCCTCAAGTGTACAAGTGTGACCCTGCAGGCTACTACTGTGGCTTTAAAGCTACCGCAGCAGGCGTCAAACAGAGTCAACCAGCTTCCTCGAAAAAAAAGTGAAGAAGAAATTTGATTGGACATTTGAACAAACAGTGGAAACTGCAATCACATGCCTGTCTACTGTTCTGTCGATTGACTTCAAGCCTTCAGAAATAGAAGTTGGAGTAGTTACAGTCGAAAATCCTAAATTCAGGATTCTCTCAGAAGCAGAGATAGACGCTCACCTTGTTGCTCTAGCAGAGAGAGACTGAACGTTGTCATCACTTTACCAAATCCATGATGCCACTTGCCTGTGTGTTTGGTGACAGCAAACCAACATCACAGAGGCCCCTGGGTTGAAGATGGAACCTCTCCCACTCCTCCTGCCACTGAGCTGGTTAGGACTGTATAAATAAAACTGCTTTTGGAAAAAAATAAATAAATAAATAAATAAATAAATAAATAAATAAAAATAAAGTTAAATAAATTATAAAAAAAAAAAGAATCTTAGCTTCATTTTCTAGACAACTTGCTTCAGCTTTTACATCAGGCTTTTGCTTCCCTGGAAATTCTTTCTAGGAACACAGGAGACTTTTAAATGATATTTATTTTAATTTTTTTTTTGCCTGCATATATGTTTGTATACCACATGCATGCAGTGCCCGTGGAGACCAGAGGAGGGCCTATCAACCTCTGGAAATGGAACTATGAACAGCTGTGAGCATGTGTGCTGGAAACAGAACCTAGGTCCTCTGTAACCGCACAAGTTAATCCCTGAGCCTCCGTGTTTTCAGGAAGTGAGCTTCCAAGTAATGCTTTCAGTTTCCTACAGAAGCTTCCCCTTTTCATTTACAACTTGGCTAGCCTGTGTAAAAGCTCTACCTTTCAGCCAATCTTGTCCTCATTTGTTAACTCATTTGTTTAGTTCTACTGGGGATTGGATTCAGGGCTTTCACAGAAGCTGGGCAAATGTTCTATTACTGAGCTAGAAGACCCAGCCCATTTTGGCTTTTGACACATCTTCCTCATCTAATCATTACAGCCTTCTGTCTCTTGGACAGTTAGAGGCCATTGTAGCTTGTTAATTGGCTTGGCTTTAATATCATTGTGTATATAGGAATCCATAGGCCAATTAGTAGGGGACAGTATCAGTGCACGTACCACATACCAATTTAGTTCATTATCTTCTATGGGTACAGTTGGAGATCACCTCCAAGCAATTATAATAGTAACATCACAGACCATTAGTCACAGGTCATCATAACAGATATAATAAAGAGAAAAAGTTAAGTGTCATGATAATTATGAAATGTGGCATGAATATAGCAGATGCTGGGGGAAATGGACCAATAGTTTCCTAGCTTGTAGGGATGCCACACATCTTCATTTTTAAAAGCAGGGCTGAAGAGATGGTGTAGTGGTTAACAGCACACACTGCTCTTGTTGGGGACCAGAGGTTAATTTCAGCTCTCACAGCACCAGCTCACAATTACCTGTAACTGGTTTCAGGGGATTTGACATCTTTGACTCACTCACAGACAGATACATACACTTATATACCTAAAAACGAATGCTTTAAAAACACAGTTGCTCCAATAAAATGTGGTAGGACTCTAAGTCACGTAGTGCTTGGAGATGTTAGTACTTCTAACATAATGGACATGGGCATCAGCTTTAAACAATGACAAATTTGAACAAGAAGGCTGGGTGTGGTTGCTAATGCCTGTAATACCAGCATTCAGGAGGCTGAGACAGAAGGACTGCCACATGTGAGATCCTGTCTCCTGATCCCAACTCCCCCCAAAAGATAAGAGTGTAAAATCATTTATTGATTGAATTTTACAAATAGGAAAGAATTAAAAAAAATTCAGGGGTAGAATGTGTTGAGAAGTGTGTGGGAGATGAAGTAATGAAGAAAAAAAAGACTAGTTATTCCAGAATGTTCATAGTGACTGAGAGGCGACTCATTCAACAGTTAAGAAGGTAAGTTGTTTTTTGTTTGTTTGTTTGTTTGCTTGTTTTATTTAAGATTGAGGACGCTTGAGTACTTTATATCTGAATGAGAGAGATTGGACGGAGAAGGCAGGAAATAACAAGGGAAACTCCAGGGGATCAGATGCCCTCTTCTGGCATGCGTGGGCACCCTCCACCAAATAAAATCTTTTAAAAAATGTTCTACTTAATTAGCTTCGAGAGGTGGGGATGGGGGAAAGAAAGGAAAAAAAGGAAGACAAAGAGGCCATAAATGAGTTAATATATTAAGAAAACGGAGGGAGAAAAATCCCAGAGTCCACGTGTGTCCACTCCTACGGATCTCGGGCTGATGCAAAGACGGAGAGCGAAAAGCTTGGTGCGCGGTTGTATTCCTGAAAGCCTCTATTGGCAGCCTTCCAGCCTGGGGCAGGATTTCAAAGAAAAGCTGGGGAAACTCCCTAATCTTTACCCTTTGAAGCGGAGGCGTGTGTCAAAACCTAGCCATTGGGCCACAACAGCCTCAACAGCTGCCCAGACCAAGGGCAAGTGCGAATTGGGAGAACCCAAACAATCACAACGCCCGCCCCCGTTCTCTACCAACCACAACGTCTCAGTGTCTTGATTGACTGGGCTCGACGCTCTGGATCAAACGTTTCCTGTAACCTTGACTGACTCGGTAAAGAATCCGTCTGAGGCTGGTGATTGGCTGGTACGTCTGGGTCCTGGCCAATCCCGAAGGGGGCGGGCTGGTTGAGAGTCGGGTTTCCAGCTGCTGTCCTTAGACACGGGTCCGCTGGTGGCGGGCTTCTCTTCACTCCTCGTGGGCCCTGACTCAGTGTCTAATGGAGCTTTCTTATCAGACTCTCAAACTCACGCACCAGGCGCGGGAAGCGGTAAGGAAAGCTTTCCCAAACAAGCAAGACCTAGGATCGTGCCAGAAACTCTTGTTGCAACAGGCAGATTCGCGAGTCTTCGGTTGCTATGGTGACAGAGACGGCTGCCCAAGTGGCGCAAGCGCAGTGGCTCTAGTTTCCCCTGTTGAAGGAAGCTGGGTTTGAAGTAGTGATCCCGGCAGGATAAATCTAGGATCGAACCGGGTCGGTTTGTTATTACGGAAACTGAATTTTAAGGGCCAGGTTAGGCTGCTTGTGGATGTGGGTTTGGACCTGCGTTAGAAGAGACTGTTAGGCAGGGCGTCGAGATGCACGCTTTTAACGTTAGCACCCTGGAGGAAGGAACAGGCTAGTAGTCTTAACTAGTGCAGTTCAGCCAGAGAGGATGCATATTGAGACCCCGTCTCAAAAACAAAACAGAAAAACAATAACAACACAATGACATTGTTGAAAGCGCCTCCTCCACCAAAAGGAGAAAAAAAAAAAAAAAAAAGCATTGACCTGAAGGTAGAATTCTAGGTTTGGGTGCTCAGTTGTCATTACCAAGGCTAGAGCTCAGAGGCACTAATTCGCTGCTCCCAACCCCCTTCAGGGTCTCCTTGTGAAGTAGGAGAATTGGTTGTGATCCTATTCACACGAGGGTTTTGTGAATTTACAATACTTCCCATGGTTTCCTGTGGTCTGGGTCGTCTGCTACCACCAGCAATATTTCCACAACAATGAACATGAATTGAAAGCTTACAGTAAATGCAGGCACCGGGTGTGAAAATAATAGTGGGTACTGGGGGGTCTGGGCGGGGGGAGGGGGCGGTGCTGCGGGTGCCGGGGCAAGATGAATAAAATTAAAGCTAAGAAAACAGGGACATCTGGCGCCTGCTTGGGGAGTCAGGATGGGTCCTTTTTATTGATAGCTTTTAAAGCTCCACAGGTGATCACTCCATTGTGTAGCTGAGGCTATGAATCATTGCTCTAGAGTCTTTTTACCTTAAAAAAATATTTGTTATTTTTGGATATGAATATTTTATTTGTGTTTGTACACCACCTGTGTTCGGTGCCTACAGAGGCCGGAAGAGTGCACTGGAGCCCCAGAGAGTGGAGTTACAGACGGTTGTTAGCTGTGCTGGAAATTGAACCCAGATCCTCTGGAAGAGCAGAGCCACTGTTGCTCTTCTTCAAATTATTATCATTATTATTTTTTACCCCGTTTCCCCTCCTTCCTCTATTCCCAGTCCCTCCCTCCCTCCCACTTTCCCTCTGCCCCCTCCCCTATCCACTAATCCTGCATTTCAATTGAGATAGGGCAGGCCTCCCATGCATATCAGCCAAATATGGCATATAAGACGAGGCACACACACACCCCTTTCTATTAAGTCTGGGCAAGGCAACTCAGTATGAGGAATAGGGTCCCAAGAGCCAGCAAGAGAGTCAGATACAGCCTTTCTTCCCACTGCTAGGAATCCCAGTAGAAGACCACGCTACACCACTGTCACATATATGCAGAGGGCCTACACAGTCCCATACAGACTCCATGGCTGTTGATTTAGTCTCGTGAGTCCCTATGAGTCCAGGTTAGTTGGTTCTGTGGGTTTGTTTGTGTGTGTGTGTGTGTGTGTGTGTGTGTGTGTGTGTGTGACATCTTGACTCCTCTGGCAGTCAGTGTTCGTAACCACTGAACCATCTCTTCAGCTTTTTTACCTTTTGAAGTGCCAATAATACACACACAAAACACACATCCTTTTGTTAGGCAAGTTCTAGAAAGAGTCAACTGCCCTTGGAACTTCCTCACCCAGGAGTTTAAACCCACTCCACACTGAGCCTAAACTACCTGCGTCAGAATCAGAAGCACCACCTCACGATAAAGCCGATTCTAGGACTTCAATGGGACTTGCCGAAACAAACCGAGATGGGGCTTGTGAAACTAGCATCATAAGCACATACCAAACTGCTTCTAAAGCACTCTGCTCAGTGGATGATGTGGGAGTGTCATATCAATCTGTTGATTTCATTGGCTGAGCAATAAAGAAACTGCTGGCCCTGATAGGTTAAAAGATAGGTGGGCGGAATAAACAGAATAGGATGCTGGGCGGAAGAGGAAGTGAGGTCAGACTCTGTGCTGCTTCCAGAGGGACCGGACAGCCGCCATGCTCTGCTCTCCCAGGCAGCTGCAACCCAAGATGGACTTAGGCTAGAATCTTCCCAGTAAGCGCACCTTGGGGTGCTTACACACATCATTAGAAATGGGTTAGTCCAGGTGCGAGAATCAGCCTGTAAGGGCTAGAGTTCATGGGCCAAGCAGTGTTTAACTGAATACAGTTTGTGTGTTGTTATTTCGGGCATGAGCTAGCCAAGCGGCCGGGGTGTTGGGGACGCAGCCCCGTCGCCGCTTCATATTTCAACAAGTGGAGCCGTGTCTTAGAAAGATGCTGCTCAGAGAAGCGATGCTGAGTTCTTGATATAGCCAGTGGGTAGGCTAGATGTCTCCACTTGTTCAATAGCTGACTTACAACCTCTACCTTTTCCATCTTCCTGACTCTGAGATCGTGCCGCAAAATACACCCAGTTATCCCAATCAGAATCCCAGTCACACACAGTTTCACTTATAGAGGGAAAAACATCACCAAATACTCTTTATTCTACCTTTGTTACATATCTTTAATAGTTCCTGTCACCACCCCCTTTCCGATGCCCAGGGAGCCCTCACGTCTTCCCCATTTCCGTAGCCTTTTATCTTTTCTCTGTGGGGCTTGCCTCTCCCCAGTCTTCATTGGGTGTTACTCTGTTGCTGGGATCCTTTTAATGACTTTCTATTTCACTTGGAAAAGCAAACCCAAACTTAAAGCTTAATGGCAAAGATCCGAGTCTTTTTGTTTATTTCGTTGTTTTGTTTTAGGCCCTAGATGGCGCTAAAGCAGTATTTATATGAGTTCAGGGGTAAACGGGTCAGGATTGTTCTGCTTAGGGGTCCCAAGGAGGGAGAAGATAAAGCTGGAGGAGGTGCCAGGGGAATTAATTCATTATAAAGAGAACTGGCTGTCCACGGGATTTTCAGCCCCCTAATTCAGATGCTGTATAGGATTTCCAGAATGTTTCCTTTAAGATAAATGTCTTGTGTGGCCCAGGATGTTCTCAGATTTGCCATGTTATTTAAACAAAGGAATCCATGCTCTCAGTTCTGAAAAATAATGTAGCATAGTTTAAGACACTTTTCTCACTCCTCCCCTTCCTCTCCCCTCCTTTAGGAAGAATTTCTAATGGATGAGTAATCTAGAGATGACTCTAGGTCTATGGAACGTGTCCGGGTTATGTACAAGCACTGTTACATTTTACATAAGGTGTTGGAGATGCACAGGTTCTGCCATCTGAAGGGGGTCGTGGAGCCAGTTCACCCCAGGACACCAAGTGATGCCCCACCCTCCATCCCAAAGTGTGTGTGTCTGTGTGTGCAGGCATATATGTATCTTATAGGTTTTGATCCTTTGGAGAACCCTGATAAATACAGGTTTGTATCACAAGATTCTATGAAATACTGATGCTATTGGTATCTTTGGGTGGCAGATTTTTTCTTACAGTATTTTAAATTTAGTGTTTCATTAAAATTAGGCTATCTGCAGGGGCTAGGGATCTAACTCAGTTGATAGAGTGTCTTCATAGCATGCATCTCCAGCACAACTTGGGCTGGGTACGACGGTGGATGCTTGTAATCTTAGATAGGCATTCAGGGTCATCTTTAGCTACACAGTGAGTTTGATGTCAGCCTGAGGTACCTGAATGGGACCTTGTCTCAAAAAAGAAGAAAGAAACTAAAATAAGATTGCATCCTATTTGTGTACCTCTGCCAGTTTTTTTTTTTATTTCTTTCCAAATTGTATATAAGAACCTATAAAATGCTCTGAGACCAGGCAGGTTGTAACGAGCAATAACGTAGGTGGTTTAAATGTGAACACACGATTAGAAACAAATAATGACTGGACTAACGTCCAGGAATGGTCTTTGGAAAGCCTTGTGTACACACACTCATGTGTACACTCAAGATGACTGGGACACGGAGCCAGTCTTCCTTTTTCTCACCCAATCTCAGCTGATTGGAAGAGGCCCTTCTCCTAGGGCTATCTCTTCTTTCTCATGTACTTTTTAAGAGGTTTCTGCTTTGCCTAAAGTAAGCCTTTGGTATTAAAATTTATTTAATATCTGTTTAGCTAATTGATTGAGCAGTTGACTAACTTTTAAAATGAGTGTTAAATGCCTTAACTTTTATTAATTGCATAGATCCCTAAAAAACAAGTAATTGAAAATCTAATTACCTCAGTGTTTTCCTTCAAAGAACTGAGGCTTATTAAACTTTAAATGTTAAAACATTTAAGCATCTATTGAAATACCAATAGCTATAAACAATGTTCAGTTCTAAATACTAATTAAACAAGTTCTAAATCACCATAAAGCTAGGCTGAATTGTAAGTAACTCATGCTTTATCTCTGCTCCGTCCTTACACAAAGAAGATTAACTACTTCAACGCTGACCACTGCTGTAGCATTGTGGACATCTTCCAAGATTCTGTGGCTTTAAAAGCTGTGCGCTGGGATGCACAGCTGTGATCCCAGCACCCTGGAGGCAGAGGCAGGAGGGCTGCTGAGAGTTCAAGCGTAGCCTAGGCTACATATAGTAAGTTCCAGGCCAGCATGGCCTATTTATAGCTAGACCATGTTTTAAAACAAAACAAAACAAAATAAAAACCCAGAACATAAATAAAGTGCTGTTGTTAAACCACATTCTACTTGTAAACCTAGACTAAGAAAGGGAGACTTAGAGAACCCGGAACACTTTACCAATATCATGCTGTACTCGTGGAGATGTATTACTGTCACTGTGAATATCCAGGTTTTGTATTAAAAACATCCTTACTGGCTTTCTTTGGCACAAATAACTTATTTGGGGGGGGGGCAGGGGGAGAGGTGAGATAGGATTTTTACAATCAAACTCACTCTGTAGATCTTGCTGTTCT